TCCCTAAGAATGTGGCTCAGACCATGGGGATGAGCAGCTGAAATCTCCGGGGATCAGCGGGACAATGCCAGAGCAAGCATTATGCTGACGGCTCTGCAAACGCTGGCACCAGCTCCCGGCCAGCAGCACCCTATAAAAGCCGAGCCGCTGAAGTAGGCAAACATTACATGGGCGAAGCAGCAGTAACCGCCTGAGCTAGGTGAGTCCTGGGACCGATTCGCACCTCTCCCATCTTGCCCCCTGCTCGTCCCTGCCATCGCTGGCCGGCCGGGCAGACACCCTTCCTCCTGCCCGGTGGCAAAAGACACCCAGAGGGACCGTCGCCATTTCCCGTGGCAAAAGACAGGCTCACACGTCCCCGCTGGCAGCCGGCGTGGCTGAGAGCCCCTCTACCGCAGGCACCCCACCCCTGGCACCGGCCTTGGCACGGCACACCGGTTGGCATCTCCCACTATTAGCCGGGGCCGTCCATGGGAGCTCACCGCACCTCCTGAGGGAGGCATAGCCAGGATGCCGCGGCAGGGAGACGGGAGCAGGCAGGTCTGTTGGACACTGCCGGGCACCGGGCAGGCTGTGCCCCCCACCACAGCTCCCTGCTCTGGCTCAGGGGTGGTTTTCCTAGCGATGGCCTGGCCTTGGGGAAGGAGAAGGGGGAGCTGGGCACTGTACCCCGGCAGGCACGCGGGCTCCGTGCCACGGCCGGGAGGAGGGAAGGGGCACCACAGCAATGAGAAGAGAGCACCCTGCTTTGGATGTGTCCCGGAGTCCCCCGCTGTGCCCCGCACCCCATCCTGTGGCTACTGCGACTGGCGTGGCTTGTCCCCATCAGCAAGGCAGCAGGCTGGGGACCCTTCGAGCAGGCACCCTTCGAGCAGGCGCCGTGGGCGGCGGGCACAGAGCCGTCTCCCAGCCCCACGAGCAGGCAGCGGGGCTGCGCAGAGGCACGCTGCAGTACCAATGGCTTTTCCTTCCTTCTCCAGACACCGTTCCAGCAGCAAAGATGGCTCAGACAAACCCTCTGCCTGTCCCCATGGGCCCATGGAAGGTACGTCCTCACACCCCCTGTATCTTGCCTTTCCCTGTGTGCAGGTGGGGGACAGGGAGAGGGACAAAACCAGTCCTCCAGGGCCAGGAAAGCTGCACAGCGGGCAGTGAGGCACCGGGGCAGCACAGAAAGCAAGGCACCCCTGTTCTCTTGCCTCCCGCCTGCACAAACACCTCCCGGGTGTTTTTCATAAGCCTCTTTGCAGCACCCTGGCCCAGCCGTGCCCTGCTCTTACCAGTTGTGCTGTGCCAGGCAGTTACAGCAGTCCCCAAAAGCCACACGCTGTAATTCACCCTCCTCTGTCGGCGCAGGCAAGCTGGCAGGGTGGGCAGGGGCAGGCATGAGGACTGCAAAGGGGGTCGGTGGGCACTGCAGAGCAAGGTGGAGAGCAGCCCCGAGGGGTCTGCCAAGAGCTCTGGGGACGCAGTTCGAGGAGGGAGCCGAGAGGGAGAGGAGAAGCATGTGCGCAAGCGGGGCGCACCCCACCGAAGCCTGGAGCTTTCGTGGGAGAGGAGACCACCAGCCGCAGCCCCCCGGGGAGTTCCCCCTTTCCCCCGTTAATCCTCTTTGCCCTAGAGCGTTCGGAGCAGAGGCCGGGAGAACCGCCAGCCACAGCCCTGCTACCCGCCCGTCCCAGAACGGCTCCGCTCCTCTCTCCGGACGGCACCGCTGCCCCGGGAACTGATCTCCGCAGGGGTGAGCAGGAGAGCGGAGCGGTGGCCAGCGTTCGGCTCCCCCGACACCAAAGGCAGGGCACCGCGGGGCCAGCAGAGCAGGGACGCGCGGAGGCGTGCGGGGCTGCGTCCCAGCCCAGAGGGGTGCCCGGTGCAGCCTCCACCAGCTCTTCCCCGGACGGAGCGTGACTCTCCGTCTCCAAGAGGCGCAGAATCGCCTGGGGCCGCTGCCCGGCAGTTCCCAACTCGGCAGCTCACTCTCCGTTCCAGATCACCGTGTATGACCAGGAAAACTTCCAGGGCAAGAGGATGGAGTTCACTTCGGCCTGCCCAAACATCATGGAGTGCGGCTTCGACAACATCCGCTCCCTGAAGGTGGAGTGTGGCGCGTGAGTACCCAGCTGCCAGCGGTGGGGACGCTTTCCCAGGCGGGCTGGCAGGGCCAGGGGTGCCTGAGCGTGGAGCGGGGCTGGCTGTCCTTGCTCTGCTCAGCTGCGGGAAGCCAGGCATGGGGGGGTCCCACCCTGCCAGGGTACAGCAGCCAGCCCTGGGCAGCAGTGACACAGACAGAGAGCCAGAGGACAGTGGCAATGCCTTTGGCATTGTCCAAAACACCCTCCCGCAGTCTGGGAACAGCCAGGTTTGGAGCTGCCCTGTGCCCCGCAGGGATGCAGCGAAGACCAGTGCTCAGCGAGCGGCTCTTGAGCTCAGCCTGGCTCCAACCTGCCTGTGTAACCCCATGAAGCACCAGAACCACCTTTCTTGCCCCAGGGCCCAGCCCTGCTCTGCCCCGTGCTTTCCCAGGGCCGGAGCAGAACCTTCCCACAGCCTGCGCTGGGCTGCCCCCGTCGCTGATAGGGGTAGGGAGCAGAGCCGGGCTTCTCCCTGCGCACGGGAATCTTCCCGGGCACAAGCAAGACATGTCCCGAGCTGCTCCGAGACACCGTGTGTAAGGAGCGATCCCCACGGCCAGCATCCTGCTGGGGCCGGGGAAGCAGACGAGATAGCTTTGCCCTGCTATATTTAGGATTTGTAATGCTAATGGGATTACAGCGGCGTGCGTGCTCACGCCGTAATCAGCTCGCTGCTCCAGTTGACGTGTTCCTAATCAGGCTGGTCACCTTGCACGGGCGGGGGGAAGGCCGACTGCGGGACACGGGATCAGGGCTCAGTTTGGGTCGACCCACCCCCCCCAGCTCAGCGTGCCCCTCAGCACCCCGCTTACCCCATAAGCAGGGGGTCTGTGGGCTGCACGGCCTCTGCCATCCTCCTGCCAGCCCCCAGCCCAAGCTCTGCCTCCCCGCTCGGCTGCGGCCGTCCCGTCCCCAGTCGCTGTAAGGGGATGTGCCCAGGAGAGGTCCCCACGCTGGGGACAGGCAGGCTGTCCTGTGGGCAGCACCAGGGCTTGCAAAATGTGTCCTGCAGGGTGGAGGCATCCTTCCCATCATCCACCCAGGTGGGTTCTGCCTCGTTTGGGCATGAGGAATTCAGGTCTTCCCAGCTGTGCCAGGTTGTAATTCGGGAACAAATAAGAAATGAGGCCTTTGGGAGAGAAGGGCAGCCGGGGGTGTCCTGTGGCATCCTAACGCGATGCCGATCTGTAAATAACCGATGTGTAAATAACCACAGAGCGTTAAGGGAAAGCAAACCACCCCCGCAGGCTGGGCCCCTCGAGGGAGGGACTCCATCACCCGCGCTGCCATGCGGGCTGCCTCCCAGGCACCAGCTGCGGTTACACCCTCCCCGGGTTCTCTGCCCGCATCCAGCACCGCTTCCTCCCCTCCCGGCTTGTGGGCAGGGGCCAGACCCCAACCTCCTCCTCGCACCTACATCTGTGCCCCCCGTGCCAGCCCCGAGCAGGAGCCCTGGCGCTGCCGCAGGAAGCCCTGGCAGCCCTTGCTCTGTTTTTGCAGCTGGGTCGGTTACGAGCACACCGGCTTCTGCGGGCAGCAGTTCATCCTGGAGAGGGGAGAGTACCCGCGCTGGGACGCCTGGAGCGGCAGCAACGCCTACCACATCGAGCGCCTGATGTCCTTCCGCCCCGTCTGCTCCGCTGTGAGTGGCCTGGCTCCCACGGAGCCCTCGTGTCCCTGTTCCTATTAAAATGTCCCAGGCAGTAGCACCGGGCCAAGGGAGTGAGGAAGGGCAAACACAGCCATGCCAGGGGGGGGCTCAGCTCTTCCCCACCCCTTCAGCCCAGCAGGATTTGCTCTCTCTGTCCTGTTTTCTAAGGCTTCTAAGGGAACTTCTGAGCCAGCTGCACATGGCCAGAGCTGGGGGACAGCCAGCCCAAGATGGTAGCTGTGGCATAGCTGTCACTGACACCTCCCAGGCCACCCCCCTGCCCCATCCTGGCCCAGCACTACCCTGCTGAGCATCTCCACGCATCTGGGCTTTGGGAAAAACAGCACCCCCCCAAAAAAAACCCCAGCCCGGGTCCTGAATGCCTCCCTCTCCAGGAAACCCTCCGAGCAGTGCCATAGGGAGCAACAGCCATCGCCCCACCCTCCCCACCCACGCTGGGGAGGGAGCACCACCTCCCCCTCACCCCCTGCTTTCCCCCCCCCTCCAGAATCACAAGGAATCCAAGATCACCCTCTTCGAGAAAGACAACTTCATCGGCCGCCAGTGGGAGATAAGCGACGACTACCCCTCGCTGCAGGCCATGGGCTGGGCCAACAACGAAGTGGGCTCCATGAAGATCCAGTGTGGCGCGTAAGGGATGGGCTAAGGGCCACGGGCTGCAGGGAGGAGGGGGGGACACCCTGTAACCCCCTTACTTACCTCTTGTCCCCCTTACGGCCACCTGATGTCTCCCTTTTCTTCCAGCTGGGTTTGTTACCAGTATCCCGGGTACCGTGGCTACCAGTACGTCCTGGAGTCTGACCACCACGGAGGAGACTACAAGCACTGGAGAGAGTGGGGTTCGCACGCCCAGACCTCCCAGATCCAATCCATCAGGCGTGTCCAGCAGTAGCTCCCCACTTTCCAGTACATCTCTGCAAGGTTTCTAAAGCTCACCGGCTCCCTTTTGGTGCTAATACTCCCCTCCCGAAATAACCACCCCTTCTTGTACTGCAACTGCTTATGGAACAACACTCCCAAACGGTACCAACTGCCACAATTGCCAATAAATGTGACTGAAAGAAAAAGATCAATCAGCTTGGTTGGGTCTTTGCTGTCGCGTGTTTGGGATTGAAGTCGCACCCCCACAGCCCAGTAGCAGGGACCAGGCTCTTCCCCGCCCATTCTCAGCAGGGGTGAAGCCCGGTGGGGTTCACACCACGGCAAGGCCACCCCCCAACTCTCGCGGCGCACACCAACACAGCGGCCAAACCCGTGGTCGCTGCAGCTCTGCACCTGCGGGGCCTCCTCCTCCTCCCCGCCCTCCCCTTCCCCTGTCGAGATAAAGGCCACCGCGCCCCCGGCCCCACCGCGCTGTGCCGGCACCGGGCACCCACAGCCACCCGTGCCGGGCCGCTCCTGGGCTTTGCAGCCAGCGCCCGCAGGCCCGAGGGACCGAAAGTTGCGTCGTGGGCCACGCAGCACCCCTGGGGCCGAGGGACGCTCCCTGAGAGCGCAAAAAAGAAAGTCACACTGACACCCACAAACTTTAAAATTTTTATTCAACAATTTACATCACTTATTGTCTGTCTTAACGTATTCGATCTACACAAATTTTTTTTTCCTGATAAAATAATAAAATTTGGATAAATTTTGAAGACCTGTTGGTGCAGAATAAACAAAATTTCAGGTAACTTTTTTTTTTTTTTTTTTTTTTTTAAACATTTAGTGTGAAGTATGACATCATTGGTAAAGATACATCATGCCATTACAGCTCATGGACATTACCTATCCTTACAGTCCGTGACATCACCCATACCAGCGCAAGGGGCTGCGCCAGACACAGCTACAGCAGGTATTACACTAACTCTTCTAGCCACCCTCTCACGACCGGGGAAAACGCCTACACTTTTCCAGCTGGGCACACAGAGTGCATTAACCTAATCGGAAATACCGGGGAGGGGAGAAGGAAAACAAAGACTACCTTTACCGATTCGTGTGGTCGCACACTACAACATCGACAACAAAGAGGGGCTGCCCCTCTCCGCAGGTCAGAGGTAATTCAGCTCCTGAGCAGGTAGAGCACAACCCCTCGCGGCGATTTTAATACACACCAGGAAACCGAACGAAATGAGAACTTATCGACGGGGCGAGGGGGAGCGGGAGAGGAGAGGGCTCCGGCGGCTCGGCCAGGAGGGACCTCTCCCGCCCCAGCTCGCAGTCGAAGCGCGCGGTTGTGTTTCACACCGCCCTTAACACTGAAATAGTCAGGGGAGGGGGAGAGAGGGGCGTCCGTCCCCCCGCAGTAAACAAGTTGAGGACCTTCAGAGGCTCGCAGGCCGCTGAAGGTGTGTAAGTACACGTGTGATGGTAGATAGAAAAGCAGCCCTGTTCTGTATGAAAAAAAGCCGTCAAGTTAGTACAAAGTTCTGCCATGGCAAAGGGAACACGAGGAGAAAGCTGTCAGGGCCCTTCTCTCTCTGCACAAAGGCTCTGGGCTAAGCAACAAGTTTCCAAAGGTGGCACCTCCAACCCAACGCACCCAACTCATGAAAGCAAAACCAAACCAAAGCTCTCGCCCCAGGGACTGGCAGGAGCCCACCCTCTGCTCCGTGGACTACAGCCCCCGCAGCGGGGACAGCGAGGAAGCCCGTCCCTCCCGCCTCACAGTGGGAACACGCAACGGGGCGGTTTCTCTTCGGTTAATTTTGTCGTTAGAAGCCTCAAGTTTGCCCATGCTACCAGCCCGCAGCGCGCAGACGGATCTCCATCCCCTCCTCAAAGCTGCTTCGAGTGGGGCCCAGGCGCGCGCTCCCCATCCCCGTCGCCGCCCGCACGCCCTACCGGAGGAAAAAAGGGCACACGCTCATCCGACAGTATGAATGTATCCGAAACACAAGCCAGCACACCCCGCTCCCTCCGATTCAGTTACTAAAGTAGGCTCTTTAAAATAAAAAAATAATATATATCTTTATATAGCTATACAGAGAGAGACAGAGAAAGCAAAGGAGAGAGATAGGCTACTAAAAAAAAAAAAATATCAACGGAGGAAAAAAGGGCACACGCTCATCCGACAGTATGAATGTATCCGAAACACAAGCCAGCACACCCCGCTCCCTCCGATTCAGTTACTAAAGTAGGCTCTTTAAAATAAAAAAATAATATATATCTTTATATAGCTATACAGAGAGAGACAGAGAAAGCAAAGGAGAGAGATAGGCTACTAAAAAAAAAAAAATATCAAGAAGCGCCAGTTTTCTGCTACAGCTGTCAGCAAAGAACTGTCACTTTACATCATACCCTCTGAGATGGTGAAGATAACGCAGGCAATGACAGCACAGGAATGCAAAAGAGGGCAGATAAGTCACTTCTGGTAATGAGACACAAAAATTAAACTTTCAAAACATGTGCATAGCTTTATTCATCTGCTTCAAACTAACCTCTTCACGGAGCTTCAGCGAAACCCGAGTGTGCAAAATGCATTTCTAAAAAATAATGCAAGCAAGCTTTCACATTTACAGTGGCAGAAGTACAGAAGGACTCGGACAGAAATCACACGTTGGGGCGAGTGAGTCGGGGGAGAGATGAAGAACCAAGAATTGCACAGCTTCGTATTCTGAGTCACTGACTGCAAACATAAGCATTTCTATTTCGTTAACTTTAAGCAAGGCGTGTTTACTTCTCCTTTACAAAAAAAAAAAACCAACTGAAAAAACCCCACAGTAACAAGAACCACAACCTAGAAGGGAATAAATCCCTCGGGTAACGGGATCCCTGGTGCCGCAGAAAGCCCTAAGTCCAGCGCAACGCCCGTTCCAGACCTTCACTTGTTTTGGCTTTGCAGGCGAAGCGTGGCAATGCTTATTTTTGTCCGCAGGAGAACAGCAAAGCAGCTTCTCTTTCTCTCCCCCCCGCCTCACTCCCCTCCAAAGTCACAGAAAACGGCTTGTGCTCGGAAAGGAAAGGTGCCACCCCCCAGAACATCGTCCCCAAACTGTAAGACAGCCACTACGCAGGATCGAGCCCAAGTCTCTTTTTGATCCGATGGGTCACCGGGACAGTAACGAACCCTTGACTGTAGATGGGGCACGGCCACCGTGCCGCCAGCCGGGAGCCCGACCGTCCCACACCACGACCCAGCAGCTCACCCACCACTGCAAACTCTCTTCAGAAAGACTAAGCACACATGCAAGGCACATTTAGTCAGATGGACACACACTCGTGTGTGTGAAAGAGCAAACGCTGGCCAAAAAAAAAAAAAAAAAAAAAAAAAAAAAATCAATGCTGAATAAACTTATTAAACAGGCAGAGAGTTCTGGTCTATGGGATTTATATACTATTTTCCAGGCAGTTGTAATCCTCAAGCGGTTTTCCTACAGGACATTAGATCTTCTTTACTCTTCCCTCACTTTACAGAGGTACTTTGTTTTCCTAAAGGATCTTCTAGAAATAGTTAAGTAAATTCCCTTTTGTCCCCTCCAGTAAACTCCTCCTTCAGAGCACACATCTCCCCGCCGTGGTCCAGGTGCGACCCATGAAGACAAGAGGTTCTGGACCCACCCGTGCCCCGCGACAGCACCTCGATGCAGCGAGACCTCCCTCCGCTACTCCCCAAGCCTTGGGCTTTCCCGCCTCAGCCGTCAGGTTTCAGCTCGGTAGATGGCCTGGCCTCACTTTTTTCCTCGGAAAACATCCGACGTCGGGCACCGGCCGCTCCCCGAGGGGGGCTGAAGAAGGAGCCCACAACTCCGCAACGCCGGGGGCGCGGGCAGGAGGGAGGCCGTGCAACCTTTAATACTGCTGGTTAACTTCACATTGAGATAAAGCATTCAAAAGATCTTTTTGCAGAGATGAGCAATTTCCTTCCATAGATAGATTCAAACAGAAAACAAAAATATTAAAACTGGAGACAAGAGCTGATCGAGATTTTTCTACCTTACAAGTTACTCAGGCATCTTTCCCGCACCACCAGCCATCGAGGAAGGAGAAGCTGAAAACCTCAGGGATCTGCACTACCCTTCCAATAGCAGCTTGAGAAAAGGAAGGAGAGAAAAATAAAAATAAAAAAATGCACAGTGTTCTCTCAAGGTAAGAGTTCTCCTTTGCTTGCGTTTGCATAGAAATTCCCGTAGGTCAGCACCAAAATCAGGTACCCCCCTCTCCTACACCCCGGCTCCCCCAGTTCCTATGCTACCCGCAGCGTCAGTGGCTGTGTTACAGGAGGGTTCGACGATCCGCAGAGGAACTACATGGTCACGTAAAAAAAAGTGCATCACACATTCTTGATTTTCAGGGTTACTTATAGCAGCAGCAGCATTAATCCAAGACAATGAACAGTTGTAGATTCGTTCTTAAATGCAGCAACACTTAATGAAATGTCTTCAGGGAAGGGCATAAGAGGGTCCTTCTCAAAAGGATAAAAGGAAAATTAGACTATTCAATATAGACAAAAAGGAGATAAAACAAAAAATTAAAGACACAATCTTATTTACATTAAAAAAACATTCTTGTTAAAATATCTTTACAACACCTAAGCAAAAAAATATGTATTTTAAGAATAAAGCAGAAACTCCTAAAGCAGTATCCATTTTTGGAACCCTTATTTAGCACCTGAGGAAAGACCGTATGGAAAGCAGATAGGTTTTTTTTTTTGTTGTCCTTTTTTTTTTGTTTTGTTTTGTAAGAAAACTGTAAGTTGTGTTTTTGCTAAATGTTCATATGTTCGCAGTACACAAGTTTCATACCACAGAAAGAAATGAACTATTTTTTTTTTTTCTTCTTTTTAAAGATACTCTACTCGTTAATAAGGCTGTAGAAAAGGGATACTGCTATCTTACAAAATGGCTTTAGAGCTCTGGACACGTTATACGAAGCTTTCTGATTAACAGTCAAGAGAAATACAGCTCAGCAGCCCCTGGCGAAAGCACAGGTATGACTTTTGCTCCCGTCCCAGGGCAGAGAGCAGCCCGACACCCCCAGCAGCGTGCCTCC